ACTAGGCTTTCTGCTACTTAGATGATGTATTATAAAAGGTTACATCTCCCATGAGAGAGAGAGAGAGAGAGAAAAACATTATTTTTGGACAAGCAATAAAACTAACACACATACATAAAATATATGAAATGAAAAATACCAGTATTTAATTATCTGCATTACAAATACTGTAGCTACAATTCGAAATGTACAACAAAACACCTGGCCTATTAATTAACGACAAGGACGTAAAGAAAGCGTTTCAAAACCGTTTAATAGTCATTCACGAAAAAAGGCGGTTTGTTAATAATTACAAAAATGTTATAGAATACTGCGCAGAAAATTGTAAAATAATGCAAACGATGCTCAAACGGGATGAATAAGAAAGGGTTTGTAGAAATGGAAGATGGGTATGAACATTCGCGAGTATCGTAATAATATAATGTCGCATTGTTAAATTTCAATCACAATATATTAAAGCCAGATTCCCCAGCACAGAAAGTATGGAAACGTACTAATACCAGTGGTAAAAAGTAAGGGTTGACAGTTTTTTGTTACGGAAGCATACAAAATGGCAATCGTGTGAGAAAGGTAACTAAGTAACTAACTTTAGTGATTTGGTGTAATAGATTAAAATGTTATATGAAAAAAAACCCACCACCGACCGACATTTTTCAACATGTAGGATGAAGCCTCACCCCATTCCCATGTTGGCTCCTTCAGGTTCGCGACTTCTTGTTTTTTTTTAATGGATTTCGCGCAAAGCTACACGAGGGCTATCTGCGCTAGCCGTTCCTAATTTTGCAGTGTAAGACTAGAGGGAAGGCAGCTAGTCATCACCACCCACCGCCAACTCTTGGGCTACTCTTTTACCAACGAATAGTGGGATTGACCGTCACATTATAACGCCCCCACGGCTGAAAGTGCAAGCATGTTTGGTGTGACGGGGATTCGAACCCGCGACCCGCAGATTGCGAGTCGAGCGCCCTAACCACCTGGCCATGCCGGGCCCCGCGACTTCTTGAATAAGACATTTAGTGATTCACGGTGAGAACGTGAACTTCCCATTTTCTGTCCTCCAAATTAAACAGAATTAATATCTTTGATCTTCAATTTGTGGGACTTGATTAAATGTCACATCTGTGTAACAAGTCCAGGTTCAGTTACTAAAGACAAGTCATAAACGAGAGATTCGCTACAGCCAATAACACTATATCGATAAGACTGCGTATTTCCTATCTCTAAAAGCGTAATTAAATTTGAAAAGCGCTATCTGGTGGTTGATTTGTTAGTATTCACCATGTTGTTTTATTTAATCACATACTGTACGACACGTAGGAGTTTACAGCTTATAATTAGGAATGTTTTTGGTTTTTGTATTCTTCTTCATCTAAGATCACATTGATGAGTGAAATAATGTAATATTTGTGTACTGTTCACGCTTTACAATTTTAGTTCAAATACGTGGCGACATTTAATAGTAAACGTTTTAAAAATCTTATGAGACGTAATTTCAGTCCCTTTGATATCATGACGATTGGATATAATAGAAGAGATGATATATCTAGGCAATTGAAATTGTTTGCAGCAAACATACTCACACATCAAGTATTATTCTACATTAGATTCAATGTGCTTTATTGAAGTTTACAAAATAGGCATATATACCAGCAGGTTTACCAATGATAAAACACACCATTAAACTTATGAACAGAAATCACTGATTCAATAAGAAATTGTTAATACGCAGAATTAACTGCATAGTAACGTATTTAATACGATACAATATGATTTAATATGATGTATACTACTACACTCTATAAAGGCTTTAACTTCAAGATCTTACGTTCTGTTTCTTCAAAGACATTTTTCAGAACTAAAAAGATTCGGTGTTTTAAGAGCCTGGTGCAACCTGACCTTCAAATAAAGAGTGGCAACATACTTGATATATCTTTCTGTTCTACATTTGACTTTTTTTTTTAACACCAGTGATGCTAGAACCCTGAGTATACAACAAAAGACAAGACTGGCTTGAAAGTTAAATTCTCTCTATTTGTTGATAATACATATTTGACGTTGACAAAATAAAATTATCAAGATGTCTTTGATACACAATTTTCTTTGATGTGACATAGTTTGGGCAAAAAAATAGTGTAATGCCCATAAATTAAAACGAGAAGAATTTATTGCAATCGATAATAATATACTTAATACACATATAAACCACAACTGGGAATAGTGGCGATCACTTTGTTAGCTTTTATTAATGTAAATAACTATAGTTTTATATGTGTCTGCATGTAGAGACTCTTTATACAGCAACCTACTTCAACAGCAGCACAGCAACTTTTTATGAGTATCCTTTTTTTTTTTCGGGGGGGGGGGCTACTGTTAGCCAGATGTACACGTTTTTGCTCATTTTTGTTGAATTTCGTGCAAAGCTACTCGAGGAAAGTCTGTGCTAGCCTTTCTTAATTTAGAAGTGATAGACTATACGGAAGGCAACAAGTCAATACTACCCACCACCAACTGTTGGGCTACTCTTTACCAACGAATAATGGGATCGACGGTCACATTAGAATTCTCCCATGGTTGAGAATTGAGTGGGCGAGCATGTTCACCCTAACTACCAGGCCATGTGAGGTTCACTCTTTTTAGCGCATAGCTATACAATGGGGTACCCACATTCTGTACGCTGCCAAGGATCGAATCCCGAATTTTAGCGTTGGAAGTCCGTAAATTTACCTCTGACCCAGCAGGGGACCACTTTTCTGGGGCTAAGTGATATATAGGGTCTTTGCTACAGCTGCGTAAAGATTCTTAAAGAGTTTAACGTAAATAATGTGGAAATCATATCAAGCTGTACACCATAAAAAAAGAACAAGAAAAAACACCCAAAGCTGCTGAACAACATCACCAACTCCACGTATATTTTACAGCGTTTTCCAGTTGAAAACAAGATTTCAAGACATCTTGATGAAATAAACAGCTTATTTATGGAAATGGCCCGGCATGGCCAGGTGGTTAAGGCGCTCGACTCGTAATCTGAGGGTCGCTGGTTCGAATCCTCGTCACACCAAACATGCTCGCCCTTTCAGCAGTGGGGGCGTTATAATGTGACGGTCAATCCCACTATTTGTTGGTAAAAGAGTAGCCCAAGAGTTGACTAGCTGCCTTCCCTCTAGTCTTACACTGCTAAATTAGGGACGGCTAGCGCAGATAGCCCTCGTGTAGCTTTGCGCGAAATTCAAAACAAACAAACAAACATTTATAGAAGTCTGTTGTAACTTGTGCAACTGACAATAAATTAACCAACGGTAATGCATAAGTGAGATTATATGTAAGGTATAATGCATAACTGTAAATGGAAAATGCTTACAATTTCTGAAGAAAAAAAAGGTTAGGCGGCCATACCGATCTCAAGTCGGTTATAGTTGAAAATTATAATATTCATACGAAAAGGCAAAGCAACTGTATCGGATTCCTATGTCAAAGTTAGTAAGATCAGAAATCGGACAACTGTAGCCTAATGTTCTTACAGAACCACAGTACGTTAATCACTAGTTAAATTTTAGTTCCGTCACATCCATAAAGAGTGGCAGTGATAAAAAATTCTAGAGTATATTTTCAAGTAACTAATGAATTATTAAAAATAAAAATGAAATACATTATTGGGACCTTTAATTCGTACAATACGACATATTAATTGTTTGGAGGTATAACATGGTAGGAGGCAGGAAAGACTTATAGGTAATAAACATGAAAAATAAATAAGACAAGTAAAAACTATTCAGGCCTTGCGCCGATTTATTTTTACCAATGTACCTGATAGATATTGTAAAAAGTCACAGTTTAACAATTTCATGAGAACCGTGGCAAATCGCTGCTCTTAAGAAACATGAACCCTGAAGTTGCTATAAAACTTAGAGCTGATGTACAAGTTTTAAAGTCACCACAATCAGTATGCTACAAAAGACGACAGTTGCAGAAGCAATGATTGCGTGCTTTTTTTTTTCTACCAGTGGGTTGCACTCGTGAATTCCCTCTTGTTTTGTAAATATTTGATGTATGTGGTAAAATCAGTTTTATACTAAAAATGGGTTTTTAATGCGAATCCCAACTATATACTTGCGGATATAATCTGTCTAGATGGTTAATTATTTCTCTACAAAAAATTAATTTCATCCTTTATAGGTGAAACTAAAATTAGTAGATTTTAGGGAAAGCAAATTGTAGCATTTAAGATTTTTTGTTGTTAATTTCACGAAAAGCTATTTGAGGACTATCTGCGCTAGAGGTAAGGCAACTGATCAATATCACCCACCGCCAACTGTTGGGCTACTTTTTACCAATGAATAATGGGATTTATCTTCACATTATAACGCCTTCGTGGCTGAAAGAGGCGAGCATGTTCGGGTGTGGGTTTCGATCCAGCAACCTGCAGATAGAGCCGAACGCCCTAACAACCAAGCGAAGCCAGGCCTCAAACAGTTCTGGAGTGGAAGCCTTATTTCCATATCCATCTACAACAAATCTTCTGATAAAAACTGCAATAAGTAATGTATTCAATTCGAAAAAATTCTTATAATTTAAACATGACGTGACTCGTCATGATCACTGAGGCTTAATTGAGAAAAACTCCAAATAAATCAACTTTAAAAGCTTTTTATTGGTTTTAGCACAAAGCTACACTATGGACTACAATGTAAAGTTAATATTTGGATGTTGGTTAATGAAGTAGCATCTGAAAAATACATTAAACAATCATCAACTTTATCAGTTCTAAGTTCGGTCAGTATTTTATGACGTTATAAGCAACATTTCAATATTAAAAAAAAATAAAGGAATGGATGATTAAAAATCATCGAGCTAACGACTAATTTCCGAAAATGTTTTTGACGTGTTAATCAAACTGACAATTTATGAAATTAATATATATATATATATATTCGTAAATTACCATTACCTACAGTTTTTCATTGCTAGAAATAGCGATAAGAAACCAGATTTCTAGCACGTACCTGTGTGGCTCTATCCATCATATGCCGGACATAGTAGCTGTGGTAGTAACAGTCACGCGGCCACTGTCCAGCCAGGTAGATGGTATCCAATGAGGCAGTCCGTCGAATGTAGGGGGCAGCACTGATGGATTTGATATTCAGCGTCTTGGACTTCTCTGCTGAACGAAACCAGAAACAAACACAACTTTACATTGTGCTGCTTTTATTTGATAGATATATAGATAATTTTGTATGAAAGAAATAAGATCCCCGTGATTGTCCAAATCACGTAAAATAGCTTCATATAATTACCAAAGCTCCTCGATAAATCGAAATGACTTAAAAAAATTATCTGTTTTGTTGAATTTCGCGCAAAACTACAAGAGGGCTATCTGCACTAGCAGTCCATAATTTGGAAGTGACAGATTAGAAGGAAGGCGACGGGGTTCGATCCCAAGATTTGCAGCTTTGGAGCTGAGCACTCTAACCACCATGCTATGCCAGTCCATTAAACCATGTGTGATTCTAACAGTTCCTGCAACACTTAGTAGAAATATTTTATAAAACACAAAAATCTGTGTTTGTCTGTCCGTTATCTAATTACTCCTAGGTCGCTGGACCAATCTCAACCAAATTTTGTGGGATGTAAGTTTGGGAAAAGAAGCATGTTAATGGTGGTTCATTATTGCTGTTTTATTGAGCATTTATTATCTTTGACGTAAGTTAACGTTAACTACGTTCATAGATGGCGCCACGTTCTTACACCAACAAAAAAAAATTATTAAATTTTCTATAACATAACATTCACACAGTGAATAGGGAGGCCCACAAAAACGTCTTAAATATCTCAGAGAGTGCAGTAGCACTCTCTATGGAGGAATACAATGAAAGAAATGGCCGCTACTATTGCAATAATACATAAAAAATTCAGGCAAGAATTAACATATAGCAATATAACTAATTATTCAATCGCAATTGAGTTTAATTTATCCTATATTTGCCTGTTAACATTCTACTACACTGTGTGCCTGTGCTATTATGTAGAGATGATGCAAATGCCATCCCTACATTTACTTCCTTTTCTTCGCGTTCATAACTGACGAAAAGGAAAGAAAATAACTGTGGGTTTCTTAATCTTTCTTAAATACTTGATCAACTCTCATCAGTTCAGCTAGATCAGTGATGGAAAAGGTTAACCGCAGGAAATGTATATGTCTTTAGGTCCAAAAGATAGCTTAATGTATATTTCATTTAAACGTGTTTTTTCATATCGAAAGAGTATCTGAGGCTATCTAGTAACATAGCTGGATTTAGCACAAGTTTTTGTTCACCATATTGTGCTATACACTGAAACAGAAAACATTTACTCATATTAGACAACAACAAAAGTTTTGTCACATAAGTACTGCAGGCTCGAGATACATCAGCAAGACCAATTACAGAGAATATTATCCAAATGAGTTTTTGTCTGTTTAATATTTTTAAGCACAAAGCTACACAATGGGTTATCTGTGCTCTGCCCACCACGGGTATCGAATTCCGGTTTCTAGTGTTCCAAGTCCGCAGACATATCCACTGGGAGGAGGAAACATGGGAAATAAATTCCCAACAAATTATTACACACAACAATTTGCGAAAGGTGAAGTAGTAAGCAAGACAATATTCGCTCACGCACAGTTCGGTGTTTTATTTTTGCTGCAAGAGTTTCGGCACAGCCAACTTTTTTTTTTCACTATCGTCAAACAGAAGAAAGAACTGAAAACAACAACATCAACTGTAAACATATTCGAGTAACAACAAAATTCAGCAGATCATCTGGAGACATTTCAACAATGGGAAAATTAAATTATCGACTGAAGATTAATCACACAACCCATACGGAAAATTTGCACTTTGCATGACTACGCAAGAGAACCGAAAAGCTAAATCACTGCCTTGAGCTGGATTAAACTTTCCTAACATGAAAACAGAAATGTCATGAAATCTGTTGAATATTCAACCATGATTGATCCTGCCATGAAAGAATGCCTTACAAGAATTAGCACACAATAAATCCATAAGAGCTATCTGGGAAAGGACCTGTTGTAGGAGCTGTTTAACTGCTCTGAAATAAGATCCAGACTAATGTGTTGTTGATTGCTGCTAGAAATGCCACGATTGTACTGAACCTACTCCAGATATAAGCCACACAGAACAAACGACAATGATAATGTCACAGCTATTAAGATAACTACGACTGAAGAGAAATAAGTCAGATAAACGAGCATTTCCTCGAATATTTGCCGCTGAAAGAAATAAGTAGTGTCGGTATGGCCGCAGTTTCTCTGTGGAAATTTGAATAAACAGCGATTCCCTTGAAAGAATTACAAAGCTAAAGGTATGACAAAGAGGCAGTAACGTTCTTCGACTTGATTCAAAGTATACATTTCTACTTCAGCCCGTCGTTGAGAAATATTGCTACAACATGTGACCCATTTTCAATCATCTCATCCCTTTTTTCTTTTCTTGTTTTTTAAGTAGTGAAATGTTGCTTATAACGTCATAAAATACAGACCGAACTTAGAACTGTTAAAGTTCATATGTGGAACACGCTGAGAAGGTAGAACTGATGCTGTCCGATACCAGCTAGAAGAAGTCAACAACGTTTTCTCTCCATTGCAGAAAGCTACACCCTCACAGAAGCCAGTGGAACAAAGTTGGGTTATCAAATGAAAGCAATCGCTATCAAAATACTAAGTTTCAAATCTATCGCCAGTCTTATAGTTTGACACGTTTTGCTATATGAGATCAACCTTACCAGAAAGCAGCTGCAACAAAGTGATCCTTACATGTCTTGAGATATTCATAGCTACAGAAAACAAAAAATCTTTATCAGTGCAGGACTGATAAAAGCCTTGTAAAAGCATTGGAAAGAGCAGGAAAAAAAAGCAAACCACTGTACAATTTCTCAAGAACAGTACTCTCGCTCATGAAAAATAATCGTTTTCAAAAGAATGTTATTATCAGTGAACATATCTTTGATTCCCACCAATACAATGTAAGGTAATTTTTTTTTAACAAAATTGTCGGCATAACCCTTGAATCTGTGGGTAAAAGGAGGTTTCACTAATACAACACCACAGTTCATTGTTCACTTTCATGTACTGACTTGTCGAAAATGAGCTCATGGAATTTGTTCCGAGAGTCTGCAAGTCGTTTTATCAGATGACGATGCAAATGATGCCATGGCAACAGAACTATGTAACATAGTAAAGATTCTCCTTTCTTGGAGAGCGTCTAAAATGATTCCGAAAGGTGTTTTGGAAGATGTATAAAAACAAACTGGCATTGTTGATTTCCAATACCCCTGTCACATTGAGAATTCTGATGACTTTGCTCATCACTGTTGCTACTGGAGAAATAAGTTTGGCCAAACTCAATTAATTAAGACATGTCTGAGCTCAACCATGACATAAATAAGATTGAATGGACTGTTATTAACATCGAGCACAAATATTAGACTTTAAAAGCAAGCAGTGTGAGATTTCGTCTCAATGAAAGAAAGGGAACTTTTCATAATAGCAACATTTTGAATTATATAACATGATACTCGTATATTAACCATTACTGTAATAATATTTTTAAGGCTTTAATAAACTGATTTGATCAGCAGTCCTTCGGTTTTGTTGCACAACAAAAACTAAGATTTAAAACACACCTATATAGAGGAAGCTAAGTAGCTAAACGGCCGGGCCTATATCTAGGCTTGTATGTGTGAGGTTATTAAGTATCCAACTTTAGATGCTAGACTTTTTGAGTACTTTTTACACGTTTAAGCCTTCCTGAAAATATGAATTTCTTCAAACCTTTTAGTCTTCTTAAGGAATAAGAATGTGCATATACTATGAATCTGTAAACCCAAGATTTAACGATTTGGTTAAAGTGAAGTCAACATTTTATAAGCAGTTAGCAGTCTGTACAAGTTTGGGTAGTTTCCAATACAATGTGGAGTTTTTCGCTGATATCACAAAGTAGCAGCAAAAGTCGTACTATATTTCAGTTATTACACAGTACTTTGTCAGCAGAATGGTTATATATATATATATATATTTATGTCCCATATCTATAGGCCTAGCTTCGCATCTCGTTTTTTTTTTTTGTTGATTTGCGGGTCAAGCTACTCGAGGTTACCTGCGCTGGCTATCCCTAATTAGAAGAAATAGACTAGAGGGATTGCAACTAGTTCACACCACCCACTACAAACAATTAGGTTACGCTTTACAAACGAAAAGTGGGGGATTGACGGTCACATTATAACGCCCCCACGCCTGAAAGGGCGAGCATGTTCGGTATGATTCGAACCCGTGACCCGCAGATTACGAGTTAAACGCCCTAACCACCAGGCCGTGTCAGACCCCCGCAACTCAGAACTAGTATGTACGTAATGTTTAATCAAGTGCCTCTGACTTCGTTATTATCGCTATAAAGCAATCGTTTCTGCTGATTTCAAACCAATTCAGGTGGAAAAACGTAGGTATAATAGCAGTCAACGGCTGCAGAATGTATTTTTTCGTTATAGATATATTGGTTTTATATTCAAAAACAACAGACTGTATTTAAAATTTAAAAGTTTGTTTGTTTGTCGTTAAGCGCAAAGCTACACAATGGACTTTCTGTGTTGTGTTCACCGCGGGTATCGAAACCCAGTTGTTATTGTTATAAGCTCAGTTAGCTCACAGACTTACCGCTGAGCCACATGGAAGCTAAATTTAAAGAAAGCTGACTGCAGTAAATATTATGATAACTTTAGGGATGAGAAAGGTTTCGGTCATTATATCATAACAAATAAATATTTATTTCAATTTCGATTTTTTTTCTGGTTTTCTTAACTACCTGGGTTGCTGTCAAAAATTGTGACGACAAGCATTTAATTACATGTGCAAAGAAAAAAGATTAAATAGACCTCATAACGAAAATTTGTTTATGTTAAATATTTGTATCTACTATTTCAGAATTAGCGTAGTTTGAAATAATTATTTTTGGTAGTTTACTTATTATATGAGTAAGATGTTTTATATTAGTTTTGACTTAGAGGAGTAAATGCATAATATACATTTTGTTGTCATGCCACTTAGTGGAATGATGTATTTCTTTATATGCATTTCTTTAATATACCTGTTAGTTATATTTCAGTTATTTT